TGTGAGCACAGCAAGAAAAGGAGTGGGAGGTGCTAAGAATAGCTGGTGAGAGCAAGGAGCAGGAATCAGCTGGGAGCATGTCCTGTAAAAGTATCTCATGCTCCACATCACCATCATTGCTGGAAGACTCCTGCAGTGCTAAGATGGATCATTCAGTTTCATGGCAGCATCCAAGTCTCCTGATCAACCACACTACCTAAACATACCTGTGCTCTGAAAGAAAGCAAACTCCTCTGGGCTAGGGAAATCCAGATGTGTGACACCCTTGGAGCCAATATTCTCCTGACTTCAAGGACTGCTCAGCAGCAAACGTAACACACCACTCCTTGCTGTCAAGGAGTGGTCCTCTGCTGCTCAGAACACCCTCAGGTCCATGATCTCCTCCTTGTTCATGTCAGGCTACAGACAAACAGCAGGGAAGTACTGGGAAAGTGTTGTCTCTCACATAGCAGAGACATACTGAGTTCCTTTTTTCTTCAGCCTCTGGTCTTTTTTGTAGAGATCATCTTTGTAAAACATGTACATGCTGATGCTGTCTGGAATTATTGAATTATTACTGCTGATCCTAATTCCCTGAAAAAGTTTCAGGAAAACTAGTTCATGATAGAATCATGAAGAAATATAAACACTATGGTAGTGACTTTGGGGTGATTTTTTTTCTTTAGTTTTTTGTTTTTGTTATTTCTTTTAATTCTGCTTTAGAAAGTCACCAGTTCCTGAAAATCATATTACAGTCCCAGCTCAGACCTTTTTCATAAGCACTGCAAACCACTTTTTCAGCTCTGGTAATGCAACAGAGGAGGGATCCTTTTTACTTCTCATCTCCTGAGCACTTTTAGTTTTGAGTGGCAAAAGCAATTTTTAGGCCTTGTGATAACAAACTTATCAGTCACCTTCAACATGGAGCAGTTTAATGAGATAGCTATTGAGTGCTCACAGCTGTGCAAATTACAAGTGGCAATAGCAAACCACAGAGATCTTTAGGTTCATTGCCATCGTGAATTTTGTGGTTGCAGTTCCCTCCTCCATCTCTAAGGGACAATTTTTTTCCCAGGCAGTACTTCTCTGGCCAGCCTGAATTGCGTTGGCACAAAAAAACCACTATTCTAAGAAGTTTCTCATGAAAGAGCTACTTGTTTCATTGTCTCATTGCTTGTCCTAAGGTTTGTTCAGATCATTAACCAGATCCCTGCTTCAACTGCCTTATCTTTTCAGTGCACAGATAGGCCCTTAAAAAGAAAAATTGAGAAAATGAGGAAAAAGAGAGAAAGATAGAACCTCAAAAGTGGGCTGATTGTTTGCAGGATGCAATATCAGGATTACTGAAAGTCATTGGAATTAATTCTGCATATTACATTAAAAGTGCTAGGGACAAAAAGAAGCAGTTCACCATGATATTTTATGAAAAATCCCTTTACCAGTATTTCTTCTCCTGGGAAGCTGGGAAGTTTCAGCTTCTCCCTCTTTTGCTGTTTGTAACGTGATTTGGAGAATTGTTCATCCCATCATGTGAATACTTATTAGTTAATGACCAATCCCAGTCCAGCTGTGTTGGACTCTCTGGTCAGTCATGAGTTTTTATTATGCATTCTTGTATAGCCTTTTGATGTATTCTTTTCTCTATTTCTCTAGTATAGTTTCAGTATATAATTTTCTTTAATACAATATAATATCATAATATAATAAATCAGCCCTCTGAACATGGAGTCAGATTAATCTCTTCCCTCGTCCTGGGACTCTCGCGATTGCAACACACACAAGCAAATGATAACAAGGAATTCATTCCCCACTGCCCATGGGTAGGCCGGTGTTCTGCCATTCCCAGGATGGCAGGGCTCCATCACACATAATGGTGCTTGGAAAGACAAACACCGTCACTCCAAATATCACTCTTGTCATTCTTCTTCCCCTGCCGCCCCCCGCCTTGCCCCTTTCATATACTGCATGAGACACAATGGGATATGGGATATCCCTTGGATCAGTCACAATCAGCTGTCCCTCCTCCCAAGTTCCCATGCACCACCATCCTCCTTGCCAGCATGGCGGTATGAGAAGCAGAAAAGCCCTTGAATGCTGTGTAATCACTTCAGCAATAACAAAAATATTACTGTCTTGCTAACAATATTTGAAGGACAAGCCCAAAGTGCAACCTCACCATAGCTCCTGTGAAGGATATTAACTGTACAACAGTCAAAACCAGCATTGGTAATCATGGAAATCATTCCTGGTTGACAAAAATAGGGGGTGGAGTCATGGGTAGGGTTGTTTTTGTAGGAGATTGTATCATTGTGGGGACAGGGGGATCCACGATGATACGTTCCCCGGGAAGCCTTTACAAAAACCCATGGGTGCATGAGCCTTGAGGTAGAGCATGTTAAGGCAGCTGCAGAGAATCCGGCAGCAGAGCAGGTGTGCTCTGCCTTGGTTTCTCTTGACAGACCTTGTATGCTGGGACTTACTTTCATCATCTGAGAACTGAGCCTGCCCTCCCTGGCAAGCAAGCTAGAAAATTCTGAGGTATTGAAATTAAATTTTACCAATCCAAACTGTGACTGCAGATGCACCTAAAGCAAATCAACCATGCAAATCTGGAATTACTATTGTTTCCAGATCCACCAATGTTTACAATAGATGACAAAATGGCTCTTTCTTAAAGTGATACATGTGTTTGAAAAAGAATTCTGAGATGTAGCAGGTATCTCTGAGAGGCACTACCTAAAATGTCTTGGGCTTTTCTCTCTAAAATAATCATCCAACATCTGCTGACTGTCTCATGCCTGTGAGAACAAAGGTTGCCTCTGAAGAGAAGGCCACACTATCTCACTGTAGCTCTTCCTAATGGCTAGGAAGGATTTTTCCTATGAAGGAACCAGTCAAGAGATTCTTCTGGGCTCTTCTTGTGTGGATTACTTTAATCAACCAGAAAACTGAACGGGATCCGAAAAGACTATTCAGGACAACTGGCCTGCCATGGATGGGGAAACAAAGGGATTTGTTTTAGTTCCCTGCCAAAGGCAAACCACCTCAAATAAAGTATGAGTGATGTTTGGGATTCCAAAACAAGAAACAGTTTCTAAAGCTTGTGCTTGTAGAGAGGCAGGTGCAGTGCATCCCTTCTCTTAGCTTATGATACATCACTTTGTCACTGTGACTAGTGCTGATATGCGTTTTGGCAGTGTCACAAAACTTACAGTTATAGGTAAGAAATTTTTGTTTCCTCTTTTAATTCACTTCAAATGCCATGTCTTCTCTTTAGAGAACATCATCCTTAACCTCCCTATCATATTAAACTGGTGTGTGTTAATAACCCTTTCCACTTCAGAGAATAGAATAAGTTGGGTCCTCTAGGTAGGGACACACCTTTCATTTTGGAGAATGGAAAGAATGAGTTTTCAGTAACGAAAAAGCTGTCCCTTGTGGGTAAGGAATGGGATAAATAATGTGTGCATGACATAAAAAAAGTTGTCCTAACGAATCAACACATGCAAAAAATTCCCCAAAAGTATAGCTACTGCCTGTAACACTGGTTCCACAGGCACTAGAGATTATTAAGGACAAGTCAGTGAAAAGCTGGCTATCTATCTGGAAAGAACTGACTTACAGTTACACTTTGAAGGGGTCTAGGAAACAAAATCAAGACAATACAAGCTTAAAGCTTACCTGGGATCTTTGCAGGGTGACTTAAAGAATGTGTTGTCTCAGATAACCGGGAACAACATGTGTTTTCAATTTTTAGCATTTTTAATATATAAAAAAGAAGGCATAAATAAATACTCAACTATATAATAAGCAATACTAAAGTCTCCCTGCAGCTTTTTAAGTCCTTGTTTTTATAGAAAGTAGCTCTCCACAGCACATCCAGTTTCTTTCCACTGAACAGGCTTACCAGGATGGTCGTACAAAGATCACAAAGGACAATGGGCTTTCTATTTCAAAATAGGTACTAAACAGCCACTGAAAACCACAGAAAAATAATATATGTTTCATTTCAAAGAGAAAGAGATCTCAGGGAATGTCTACATATGGGAAATACTTTCGACTATTCTAATATGACACCTAGATTAATAGATAAATGTCCTCTAATGAAATGGTGGAACCTCCACCATTGACCCTGAAGCAAAAGGATTCCAGACAGGCCATTTATGATGTTGATCTTAGCTGTTTAGACACACAGATTTGGTGGTGTTCCCTTACAGGCCCATTTTCTAATAGACCTGGGATAAATGCACCCTGTATTTTTTCTTTTGCTGGTGCCACATGAGGGGAGGGTTAGTCCACAGGCTTGGCTCAGAGATCTGGGAGTAGAGGACAGGTTTTTCTGCAGCTGCAAAATGGTGTGAATAATAATAGACTGTTCTTTGGCAGTGGGACAAAACTTACGGTGATAGGTAAGTAAGAAGTCAGATCACTGTGATCTATGTGATACTGGTTAGGGGACAGGAACATTCTTAATTAAAAGATTACTAATGATAATTTTTCATGCAACCATGGGAACAGGATTAATGCTTTATTGCTTGCTTATTAAAATGAGATGTGCCATTATGGAAGTGTAGGATTTACAGGCACAAATGTTGAGGTCCTTGTGTCTGCAGCCTCTGTCTTTCATTTCTGGGAACTTCATGAAGGGAGAAGGGAATAAATAATTTTATTTTCACCCATCTCTAAGGAAATATTATAGAGGTTGGGAATGAAAAAATGCTCCTCTGATCTACAGATTTTTACAGTTTATCTGTGTAAGGATCCAAAGCAGCACTTTGGAGGCAGAGTCTGGATTCTCCTGTGTGCTGAACCTTGGAGGCAAAGAATAAACTTGCTGGCACTTTGGTTGCCTGTCCGTAGATGGTTTTCAGGCTGTCTAAAGCTGCTTTGGGATGCTGGCTTCTGCTAGCAATCCTTTTCACAACTTCTGTTGCTCAGCATGGACCATATTATTTTTCTCTAAGCATACTTATTTCCTCTATTGTTTTTCTTTCTCCTTGTTTTCTTTCTCTATTTTCTCCCATCCTAGCAAAGAATTTAACATCACCTATATCAGGAAATGTGGAAATCACAGGGCAAAGTGACTTTTTCCATCTGGTACCTCCCCATCTGATAGCAAATTGTGCAAATCCTCATTGGTGCCTTTAAACCATGCCATTTTAAGGAACTATGTGGCTGTCAGGAAGAACATAATGACACTGGGGGTTACAGCCTGACTTTGTACAGCTGTGCAAACCAGCAGCTTAACTTTGGAGTCGGCACTATGCTCAGAGTCATAGGTAAGGAGCTGTTTTTAACCCAAGTGCTCTGTGTGGAGGACACTTGAAAATTGCCCTTGTGTTCGTGATATGTAGCATATACAGAGATGATTTTAAAATGAGAGTAGGAATGAAAAATAACAAGAATTATGAAACTGCCCTTGCGATGATGGAAATGGAGGAACTGAGATACTTTTTCTCCCAGGTGGGTGAAGGCTGTGTGACAGGGAATGAGTTTATGCATGGAAATGATTGAGCTTTGAGTGAGTGTCTACCATGAGTGGCATGGAAGACCAGAACACAATGGGCTGCTGATCAGATTTTTTGCTCCAGTCCTTCCTTTGACCAATCCCTTTATTCCATTTCAAGCATGCTAATAATCAGAATTTCATTGTCCTTCCAGTACTTTCAGTAGTTTTATCATTCTTTCTTTCTGCCTCGTTTTTTCACCTACCATTCAATTTTGTTGCTCCCTTCTTTCCTTAGTGTATTAAATTTCCCCTTTTTTTTCTTTTGTCCTCCTATCTGGTTCAGTCTCTTCACTCATTAGCCATTAAGGCTATGAGCCAAAGAATTTATCAGAGATACTTCTAGGATAGGAAATAAAATCATAACGCCAAGTGCTGGAAGGGAGAAGTAGAAGGGATCAACCTCTCTTCATACCCACTAAAAGGAAAGCAGAGCAGTGCTAAAGCTTCCAGGGAGTTATCTATATTGAATATCCCAGTCATCTAAGGTCTGTACAAACTGATACAGAAGCAGCCCAGGGATCTTTACAGAGCAAACACTGGTGGTCACAATTAAGGCATCATTGGAATACAAACATGAGGGTTTAGGGGACAAGATCTCTGCAAGATAATAATTTCTGCTCATTCTGCTGCCTCTCCTCCTCTTCAAAGGAGTGAGTGATCAGGAAGAACATCCACAATTCATAGTGCCTTCATACAAAAAAGCACCAGCCCAGAGAAATAATTTTCTCTTTGGCTCCATAGTTTTCCCTACATTCCCTTTTCCAGCAGCACTCTACAGACCTCATAGGTTTCTCATGCTAGTTGAGTCAAAAAGGCATTTTCATATAGCATATGGAACCCCCACCTGCCTTTTAGGGTCACTGCTTGGCTTCTGAGTAACTTCTCATGTCTGCCTTGTACATCCCTGTGACTGAAGCCTGTTCTCATTAATCTTACAAGTAGGTATTAAACACTTTAGGACAGGGAACAACATTTGATTTGCACGTGTATAGAATCTTGCATCATTCTTGGAAGGCGTGTAGCCCACAATCAGAGCTTCTCATACCTACAATAACCTAAAATTTAAATTACATGAAGTCATGTTGTATGTTCTTAAAAATGGATTGGTTAAGACCCAAGGCAAAACTTGTCCCTGGCAGACATGTTACCTGCCTCAATGGTTTTTCACTTCAGACAGTGAGAAGGATCAGCTCCTTCCCTGTTTCCTTCCTTCCAGGTCATCATGTAGATGGGGGCCAAGTAGGGTATCCCATGACAGTATAATTCTGAACTCTGCAATGACCACCATGTCTTAACTCCATCCCCAGGAATGTGACTCAGTTTGCTGAAGATGTTTGTGCCTTAAAAGAGACTCCCTTATCTATTAATGCAATATTATAAATACAGGCCTTACTCACAAAACCGGGGACATTTCCGCCCATCTCGTCGCTCCATTTCTTTGCAGCTTTGTATTCTACTGACAGAGGCAATACAAGAAATTCATGTACTTGTGCGTGTCTGTGGCCAGACCGCTTATGTTTCTGTGTGATGAGTGAGAAGAAATCCTTCCACTTTCCTGGTGTGTCCTAGCCAACATACATTAATTGTCCAATAGACAGCAGTTAAAAGGCCAGGTATTTCAGGAGAAACACGGCACAAACTCAGTTCCATTTTCAGGGGGTTTTGTTTGAGCAGAGGGATGGAGGCTCTGGACCATGTTGCTTTGTGTTTCAGGGAAGAATGATGAAATCATACCTCCTGCCGTGGCCATCTTTTCCCCATCAAAGCAGGAGATCCAGCAGAAGAGCAAGGCCACGCTGGTGTGCCTGGCCTCTGGTTTCTACCCTGACCACTTGACTCTGGTGTGGAGGGTGAATGGTGTGAAAAGGACTGAAGGGGTGGGCACAGACGAGTCCTCCACACAGAATGGGAGCACCTACTCACTGACCAGCCGACTGAGGATGCCAGCCTGGGAATGGTTCAACCCTCTGAATCGCTTCGAGTGTGTTGCCAGTTTTTTTCAGAATGGAACAACAGCATCAGTAAACAAATTTATCCATGGTGATGCTGGTGAGTAAAAACTAACTCTTACCATGCTATATAGGATAGAAATCACAAATCTAAAGAGCAAGTGTTATGATAGGAACCGCATCAATATATAGCTTCCATATAACGCGTTCTTCTGGAACAAATACATCCCTGAATATCTAGGAATTAACATATGTCTCTTCCCATTCCTGGGCCTTTGTCCCTGTGTTACCATTCTACATCTCAAGTTTCTTCAGGCCTCCCACTGAGAAATCTCTGTAGTAGAGTAAATTGTACAGTATCATAAAACACCCAGTTGTAGTAGGAAGAATGAGGCAGTGTTTTATAAACTGAAACTTCTAAAATCTGTATTCTGTTTGCTCTGAAGAGAAACATGACTTTCAGTTCATTTTTGTCTTTCAGGTTGTGCACTCACAGAAGGTACGTGTGGCTTCTCACGTAAAAGGAATTTTGCCTCTTCTCTCAGGCGATTATCAGGGTGTATTTTAATGCCAGTTTTACTGACATTAAGTACAACGTGTGGGAGATATCTGCTGCATGAAAAGCTTCTTCTTTCTCCTGTTAAAAAAAAAAAAAAAAGAAGAAGAAAAAAAAAGGAGGAAAGTTATTTGGAGGGTTGTTTGTGAACGTTGGATGTAGCTCAGCTTTGGGGTTGAGGTCTCCCATATGATTAAATTTTGAAAATTGAAGAATCATGGTACCATCCTGTAGACTGTAATTTTAGTATTTACCATCTCCTCCAGTTCTAGAAACTGACTTCCATTGGGAATATTCTTGCACAGCAGGAAAGAAATAATCCATTCTTTATACAAATGATTCTGAAATCAAGATTCAGGATATGATCTTCTGAATATTTCTCAGAATCAAACTCAGAACAATTCCCATGACAAGTCACATTCCACTCCACAGTGCTGTCATGTATGGAGGATATCCATATTGCAAATTACATTTCTTTCCTCTTTGTATACATATTTGCACACACCTGTTTTTCAAGAACTTCCTTAATTCTTCAGGTATCTTAAGGCTGAACCAAGACAGATCTTGTATCTCAATACTATGGCAACTCCTTAAGAGTGAAAAATCTTCAAGAATATAAAACTTCTAGAAGGCATGTTATTCTGGGCTTTGTAAAACTTTCCTGATAACAACAGCAGCACTCATAAGGGCACTGACAATAATGAGACAAAATAAAACGTTTGTATCTTTTGATTCAGCCTATTTTGCATTCCTAACAGGAGACTCAGATGAACAGCCCTGTTCATCAGTAGGTGTGGAACTCAATACTTTCCCAGCATAAAGCCAATCTCTGTCTTTCCTAGACTTGCTTTCTCTTGTGGTTCTTTGAATTCTGGCCCTTCCCTGCTCCTCTGGCGTCAACAGAGCCACTCATTTGGCTCTAGTTCCTTTATGTTGCTTAGCTAAAGATGTCATATGTTGTCATTTGATGAAAGCCCCATTAGAACCAGCATCTTGTAATGATGATGATGAAAATTGAACACACAAATGGTGTTTGACTTGCAGAGTCGTACTTGCGGTATGGAAATTCCCTGAAGCTCACTTACCTCATCCTCTGTGGCAAAGCCTTGGTCTATGCAGTTTTGGTGAGTGGTCTGGTGTGGACAGGCAAGGTGAGTCAGAGTGGCCCTGGAAGGCTGGGCTCACTCACTGGTCAAGGATCAGTGGATGCAGGTTAAACCCCTTCTCAGAGGTGTGGCTGTTCTGCAGGTGCTCTGCCAGGCTTTGTGGAGTTCCACTTGAAAAATCAGAAATGATGGGTTTTCTCTTACCGTTTTTCCAAAACTCAAATAAAATCAATGCTATCTAGCAGAGAAATTCCTTCTCACAATCCTCTTTAAACACATGAAAAAGTTGAGAATTAAGGACAAGTTGCCCAGAAAGTAAATAAGGGAAATATCAGATATGTCACGCATTTGTGTAACCATTGCGAAGGGGCTTACACCTGCAGTGAAAATAATAAACATATTTTTTAAAGTGATGCAGGAGATAAATCTGATTAAATATTTACAAAGATTTAAGAAGAACAGTGGATTGATCTGAAAGGATGGGATAATTCAACTAACCAAGAAGAAATGCTTTTTATTAGTAAGTTTTTCCTGTGGCTGAAACATACATGCACAGTGAGAGCAGCAGAAGTCTCAGCGCTTGTCTGTTCAAAAGCAGAACAGGGAGATGTATTTGAAAAGTGACCTGGTAGAGTTGAGGGCAAAGATGAGAACAATCTCAGTTGTATTTTTTGGTCCTTTTGCAAGGATAGAATGGAAGGTGTAGATATGTCCATTTCTGGATCATAGAAGCCTAGAATCGCAGAATGGTTTTAGGTGAGAAAGAACATTTAAAGATTATCTAGTTCCATCCCCACCCTGAAATGGGCAGGGACATCTCTCACTAGACCAGGTTGCTCAAAGCCCCATGCAACCAGGCCTTAAACACTTCCAGGGGTGGGACATCCACGGCTTCTCTGGGAAACCTGTTCCACTCTCTCAGCACCCTCCCCAGAACAAATTTCTTCCTTTAATCTGAAGCTACCCTGAATCAGTTTAAAACCAGGCCTCTTCATCCTGTCACTGCAGGCCTTGGTAAAACATCTCTGTTTTTCTTAAAAGTCCCCCACTGCTGTGTATGGGAAGGCCTCAGGCAGGCCTCTCCAGAGGCTTCTCTTCTCCAGTCTCAAGAGGAGTTGTTCTCTCAGCCTGTCTTCATAACCTGAGGCCCTGGGACTGGCTTTTGTGGGATTCCTGTGGGCCTGCTCTGTCATGGCCATGTGTTACCTGGGCTGGGGCCTCCAGAGCTGGACACAGAAGTGCAGGTGGGATTGGTGGGGGTTCACATGGGCCCGCTCTCTTAAGTCTGTCCAGGTGCCTGTGGCTGGCATCCCTTCCCTCACACACACCGATGGCCACACAGCTTCATGTCAGCTGTGAACTTGCTGAGGGTGCACTTGCTCCCACTGTCAATGACACGCTGATGAAAGTTGAAGAAATGCTTTTGGCCCCAGTACAGACCCTTGAGGGAAACTGTTTGTGACTGACTGCCACTTGAACATTCACCGTGGATGCTAGCTCTTTGGGCAAGGTCATCCAGCCAGTTCCTGTATTTGTTTCTGTTGTTTGGTGGTTGTTGTTGTTGTGATTGCTATTTTATTGTTCTTCTTATTTTGTCCCATTTTGTTTTCAATTAGAGTGGCGTCAAGTTATCTAGAGAATAAATGAAGAGCCCTTGTCATCACATCAGCAGGAACATGACAAGATTGCTACCTTTCCATAGCAAAAAAATCTGTGCTTCTACGAACTTCTGAATATAATTTTTTTGTAATTATCAGTTGCTGTACTGTTATTCACATCTTTGTCAGCTTTCTCTGTACTTCCATATCATAATGTATCATATTTTATTGTAAGACATCTTTAAAAGTAGCACCTTCTTAATGCTCAGCAGCTGAGAACTCATCTGATTGATTTAGGAATAAAGTTTTTGCTTCTCTTCCCTTGAAAAGCATGAGTAGTTGTTTTTAAATTTGGTCTTCTGTAGTAATAATGTCCTACCACACAAAGTTCAGTGAGTAATAGGGCCGTAACGAATACCTATTAATGATCATTTACTGGAAATCCCTGTAGAAATGACTTATCAGTTATGAGAACAGCAGAGGCTCATCCAATACTTACACTGTGTACCAACAAGCAGGGCTGCAGGCTTTGGAGGCCTGCCCTCAGAGGGGCTGATTTTGAGCCAGAACAGCTGCATAATTCAAAGGTGGTAGAGAAGGAAACAGCACTCCAGCCAGATGAGAAGTGACATCCTCTTGGGAGAGGCATGGGAGCTGCCTTTTCTCTCACTTCGTTCTTTTGAAGGATTATCTTGGTGAAGACAGTAGAATCCCTGTGGTAGTGAAAAAAAAAATTGGTGAGTAGATTAAAAATCACCTGACACTTTATGTTTTTGTTTCAAAAGGATCTGATGACAGACTTGGGAGGAATCTGTCATACTTCTGTTCATACCATTAAAGAAGAATGCTGCATCTTAGTGCTAGAGGGCAGAAGGGTATAATACTGGCAAATGCAGTTGTTTTTCCTGCTCTGTATTTGTCACTCTTTTAATCTCCTCCAAACACTTCCAAAGAGAGAAAATATCCTACTGAACCAAGAGATTTATTTGGTGTTCTGAGTACAGAAATTACTTAAGTAGTCTCCTGGCTGCTTCAAACAAACAAGAGAATTGTTTCCTGAAAAATACTTTTTACAATAGTGCTTCAAGGGGTCTTACATTCACAAGATGTGAACTACCTGGTCCAGGGAAAGGTGTCCCCTTCCTCTTTGGAGAAGAAAGGAAAGGAAGGTTTCAGCAAGTGGGAATCGTGAGTAGGTGGTACAAAGGGGCACATTTCAGGGGGTGTGACAAAGATGAACAGAGGCATCTTTTGATTCTGATGATGGGTTCTTTTCCCAGGATGCCCCATTATTCATGCTCTGTAAAGTTAGAGTAGACTGGAGCACAGCAGAATGGAGTATTAAAAACTAATTCCAGCTCAGCCTGAAACACATTAAGATTAATATAATTTATTAAGGCATTTGTTGAAAATGGCTGCATTTATCAGAGCTGTCAGAAAAACCCCCAGAACAATCTTGTCCTCACACACACTGACTTTCAGAGTGGTCATGGCAGAACTTGGTCAAAGTGAACAGAGTACAAACTTGGGCATAGGAATGTTGGAGCAGACAAGCTATGGTGTGAAGCGAATCTGTGTAAGAAAAGAATTTGGCAAATGACAGAGACTTCACTTTATACTCTGGAATAAGAAGAATGTTCCCACACTGAATTCATATCTGTCATTCGCTGGAAGTTGAGACCAAGGTCAGCAATCCAATCCTGTTCTTTTCCAACACTGCTACAAGCCATGCAGTTCTCATTCCCACACACTCCTGCTATTGTACAGGTAATTGTGCAAAGAGAGCACTTTAAAAGAGAGACTGATACATGTCTGGGTTCTTATAATATCTCCTGGGTTTGTTTTTTTTTTTTTTTTTTTAATTTTTGAATTGAAGTATGATTAAAGGAAACTTTTTGTTCATCAAGCTCTACTTAAGAGTGTTTTGTACAGAGGCTGTTTGTGATGGGGCTGATGCTTAAGTCCAAGGAGAGAAGCAGAATTCTGCTCTTCACCCATTTGTTGTCACTTCTTCTTCTAGCCATACAGGAGACCCCTTTGGACAAAGTGCTGTCTTCAGGGTGATATTTATGTAAGTCCACTTCTCTACAATTACACTGTGTCTCCTACAATTTTCAAGAGAACCAGCTACTGAGAGTGAAGGAGAGGATTTTAGGAAAAAAGAAGGAGAAAATGCCAGGTGCACTAGACAGTGGATGAAATATGATTAAATTGTATTGACCTTTCAAAGAAAAGAGCAAAAAACAAAATTAGGAAGAGGAAGAAAACCAAACAGTAAAGATTAAGAAAATCAAACCAAGGATGAAAATAAAGACACAACTCAGAGATAACAAAAAAATGATATAATTGAGAAATAGGGAAGAGAATCTACCCTGTAGTGGAGGAGAAGCAAAGGGAGGCAGAGTGTGTTTCTGTAAAACTGTGTTTGTGGGGACCGTTTCTGTGCTCCACAAACTATATACCCAAGGGATTAGTAAATGTGGAGAGTCTTTCTGGAGATCTTTCATCCGGTTTGCATCTCATTTTTACCTCACACCACAAGTTAATCTCTGGTAGTTCAGTGGAAGCTCACACAGGACTAAATGAAGAATGGAGTAATACATTTTATGTGTAAATGTTTCCTGCAAAGATGTACGAATAATGGAGACTAAGGTAGAGGAATGATAATGTAAATTTGGATGCAGAAGATCTGGGATACCTGAAAATAATAAAAAAAAAAATATTTGTGATTTTCCTAGGAGAAAGACTTTTGTTTTGAAGCATTATGTTCTGTGTTTTGTAGTCTGTTTTTCATATAAATAAAGATTCAAGGGAAGCTGTTAAAAAGCTATATGAAAACCATGTTTAGGTTAGGTTGCTAATTATGTGTTGACACATTGTGAGACAAGACTGGTGCCACTTACATATAAAGGAGGGAGATAAAAGTAGCCTGTTACCTCTCCCCATCAGTTCCCGTCCCTTCAGACAGTCTGCAAAATGAAGGCTTGCTCTTACTCCTAGATGAAGCCTTTTCATAGGCAGAGTCACAAGCCCTGGGAGGATGCTCTCAAGCAACACCAGGCTACAGAGACAAACACCAGCCCATGGTAAACAAATTACTCTCATTGCAAACCAAAAATTGAAAATTGTGAGCTTGAAGTTTTTGTCATCCTGGAGGCAGAAGAGAGAAAAAGTAGAAAGGAAAGCAGCATCAACACTGCCATGACACTACCAAGTGAAAAATTACTGCATTTAAAGCCAACCAATAAAAGAATAAGAAGTGTTGTCTTTTGGAGTATAAGCAAAACATCTTGAGATTATAAATTGAGTGATAATGGATACACTGAGAAGTAACTGGACTATCACATGGAAACAGGAATGGCAAAGGAAGGATGTGGTCTGTGTTTCTGTCATGGTCTAGCCTCAGCCAGGATCAAGCCCCACACAGCTGGTGGCTCACTCCCCACCAGCAGGACTGGGGAGAGAATCGGAAAAGCACAAGTGAAAAACTTGTGGCTTGCAATAAAGACAGTTTAAGAGGTAAAGCAAAAACTGTGCACACCAGCAAATGATAGCAAGGAATTCTTTCCCCACTTCCCATGGGCAGAACGGTGTTCAGCCATTCCCAGGATGGCAGGGCCCCATCCCACATAACGGTGCAACCCTTCTTTTTGTGGTAGTGAGGTTTTATCTCTCTCTTCCTTCTTCTTCCCCTATTCTCGCTCATTTCACAAACTGAACATGACACCATGGGATATGGAATATCCCTTGGATCAATCACGATCAGCTCTCCCTGCTGTCCCTCCTCCCAAGGTCCCATGCACCACCAGCTTCCTTGCCAGCATGCTGGTATGAGAAGCAGAAAAGCCCTTGAATG